TCTCCCTCTCCCTCTCTCTCTCTCTCTCTCTTCTCTCCGTAACCTCTCCCCATCTAGCCCCCCCTCCCCCCCGAGTGCCAATAGTGGACGCGTGGTGCCATAGATAACCGCGAAAGGACATAGGAATGAAAAATGACACCAACGATAAGGAAAACGGCGGGAGGGGAGGGGGAGGAGGAGGGAGGGTTGGTTTTTCCACCACCACCCCGCCCCTCTCCCCCCCCCCCTCTCTCTATCTCCCACATTCCCTTCTCTTCCCTTCTCCAGTTTTTACAAAAAAAAAAAAATATATATACATATTGTAAAGGAATTTTATGATAATAGTTTATATTAGAAGGTTTGAATATATTATATTGCTAAATCAAAACGAAACATTAATATCTGAACTTTTTTTTTCTTAATCGTACAGGAGTTATGATCATCATCACACCAGTTAAAAAAAATATATATAAATAAACAAATATTTAAAAAAAATAATAATCAAACCAAGAAAAAAATATCCTAATGAAGTTTGAAAATTTAAAAAAAAACGGAATGATATAATGATCACTTCTGTTTCCTCTCATTAATTATATTTAAAAATAATAATAATAATAAATAAAATTAATAAAAGAAAATGTAAAAAAAATAAAAAAATATATATTAAAAAAAAAATAAATAAAGTTTGGTTATTATTGTTTCTACGAGAAGGAAGTCGATTCCCATGACAAGAGAACCTCATTTCGGATAATTTTTTTCATGTTTATTCTTTATCAGAGGATGATGATGGAAAAAAATAAATGAAAATATAAATAACAAGGAATGTTATCCATCAACGTAACATCCTCTTCCGTTGCGAGAGAGAAAGAGAGAGAGAAGGAGCGAGGGAGAGGGAGAGGGAGAGGGAGAGGGAGAGGGAGAGAGAGAGAGAGAGAGAGAGAGAGGGAGAGGGAGAGGGAGAGGGAGAGGGAGAGGGAGAGGGAGAGGGAGAGGGAGAGGGAGAGGGAGAGGGAGAGGGAGAGGGAGAGAGAGAGGGAGAGGGAGAGGGAGAGGGAGAGGGGGAGGGAGAGAGAAAGAGAGAGGGGGAGAGAGAAAGAGAGAGAGATAGGGGGGGGAGAGAGAGAGATAAACATAAAAAGAGAATAAAACAGACAAATAAATATATACGCAAAATATCTTAACATCATAAAACCAAAAATATAGTTTTAAAAAATAAATAGATAATAATAATAATAATAATGAACACATTGTTTACCATCTGCGCATCGCACGCAACAGATTCTGGCGGGAGAACTGTGTTGTCAGAAGGAAAAAAATCTATCGGCTGTTTTATATTATTAGTTTAAAGGTTATATAGTGAAATATGTTATAAAGATGTT